ATGCAAAAAGAAAACGAAGCTTTCAATTTTACATGTTGATCACAAGATTATTCAATTCTTCGGTATGGATGAAAGTTTTTTCTTCATTCATCTACATCCTTCATTACTAAGTTTCTTGCCTACAAACACTGAGGATGAAAGTAAGGATAAGGATCTGATAATAGACTTTTACTCCTCATGTTTCGTAACCAACTAACTTTGTCATGAGTTTTATACAGTATGGATTCAGATCTCTTTTTTGATTATGAATTGATTCTGCCATATTGGAATCAACAAATTTCACCTTCAATGAAAAAAGGACAAATAACTCATAATATAACTCAAACAGTTATTAAACAACATAAAAGAAAATTTTCGAAACATACATAACCACAAATATGCTGCTTTTCGTAAATATTATTATTAAATTAGTCTATAGGTTTTTTCATAATCATAAGAAATACATCATTGTTAGTTACCCACAAAGATATAAAATAATAAAAAATTTGAATTGAATTTTTTTTTGTGTGCCTTTTGTATTTTTACACACATTTTTATTTCAACTTGGCAATTGTTTTTGCATTTTCTTTTCTTTCTTATTTACATGAGAAACGAAATTTGATAGCCTTGTACTTATCAGAACTCGTCTGCTGTCTTTTATTTGACTGAAACATAAATAAAATCAGTATTGATTACTTCTTTTCTTTTTTTGTTTTACATTTGATAAATTGATATTGATATAACGAAAAAAAAATTGATTAATAGTATGACCGATTTACAATTTACTATTCGTGAAACAATCTATCGTCAATATGGACAAATAATGGAAATTATTTATGAATATGATGAAATACGAACAGAACAAGTTGAAGAAAATATGCAAGTTAGACAAGAAAAACTTGAAAAACATTATAAAGCATCAATTAAACGTGATGAATATGAACGTATTGCAAATACATTTAAATATCAACGTTATGTTTTACCATTTGATACATTTGTTCAAATTATTCAACCATTTATGATGGGTACATATACAGCTGATGAAATTCATCAAGCATTTCGTTTACTTGATAGAAATTATTCAAAAACAATTGATTCAGATGAACTATCTGCTTTTATACCTGTTATACATCCAAATATGACTAAAGAAATTGTGTTAAGTTATATTACGAAAGTAACACAAAAGCGTAAAGAAGAAATAAATTTTAGTGAATTTATTCAAATGGTTTTACAAGGTGTTGGACGTGATATTGTTTGTGGGCATGTTTAAATAGACATAAAAAAAACGATATATACAGAGAGAGAGAGAGAAAGAAAGAGAATTTTATATTAATGTATTTTTAATTCAAAAAAGAAAATTTATTGATTTTCGAAACTATTATTATGTTTATAAAATACTAATAATCTGAATCTGTTCTAACTGATCCTATTTAGTTTGTATTCTTTTTTTATGAATCCAGACTTTTTGCCATACCTGTCAAAAAAAAAACGAACATGTAATGCTGCAATAATTCCTGAATCTAATGGTATTTAAAGAAAATTAAGTAGTCGAACAATATCGATTAGATTCTTTTCATTAATGGACATTTGATAACCAATAAATTTTAGTTACCAAAATCCGCTTCAGACAATGTAAAAAAGAAGAAATTGAATGGCTAATGAACGATGACATTTTTTTACGAACTGAAATATGATGTTGTGTCCTTCGTAAAGTTTATGCTAAGAGCCTGCTATTAGAAAAACATCAATGTTGCTCAAATTTATAGATTTTATCATTTATAGTTCTTAAGATAGAGATAAGTGTCTATTCTCAAATGTACAACAGTTTATTGATTGTATGATGAGATCTAAGAAGATTACACACGTTTTTCTGAATCCTCATACTGAAGAAAATAACGTTTTTTTTAAAAGTTTTTCAAGCTTCTCTATGAATTTTTCGCCATGATCAGCATGATTATAGAGTTCAGTAGTTCCAAAACATTGGAAACGCGAATCGAACTGGAACCGACTTATTTAAAATTTCTTGAAATCAAAATAATCAAACCATCATATAGATGCAAAAATGCTTAACCCTATCTCGAGAAATCTACATTTTTTCATTCTTGAAATTAAAGATTTCAGTATATATGTATAGTATTATTCTGTTTAAGTATCGAAATATGTAACATCTTTTATCTCAACAATTCAATAATGTAAACTTCTTAAAATATATCTAATATTTTCGTATGTATCTGATGATTTAACGGTTCCGATTCCACGTGCTATTTTGAAAATTGAACTGGAACTGTTATTTTTTCTCATTTTTAGTAACCGAAGCCAAAACCACAGTTCCAGTTCGGGGTAATTTTTGGAACCGCCGAATTCTACATGGCTATCATGCATCGCTAAGTATGATAAATAAATCCGACATTCGCACATGAAAAATCACCGAACGAAATGAAGGTGTTGGTGAATTGAAGATACACACCCATTAGTGTTAAAATATAAAATATGGATAGACTTTACTGTGTAGGCAAAGACAAGTATGGATCGTAGCTCTTCGGATGGCGCTACGCAGATATGAATGGTTAGTTACTTGGGTAAATTTTATTTTGGGTCTGAAAATTTGGAATCTAACGAGCTCTAGTCGTTTGAAAGATGTATAGGGCATGCTGATTATCGAATAGAAAATTTCATTGAAAGCATCGCACGACCATTCGACTAGGTTCAGCTCCGAAAATTGGAAACCCGATGGGCTCTAGTCACAGAACAAAACAAGCAGACATTTTATCAAGAAGAAAATATGATACTTCATGCTTCACGTACTTTAAAACACTTTAATTACTAAAGGATATTTTAAACTATTTTAGGATACTTAAACGTACTTCGAAGTACTTCAATGCACTTCTTTGTACTTTTGTATCTTTTTAAGTTAAGTTTATAGTTATATTGAAATGATTCTAACAAAAGAGAAGCTATGTAATCAGCCGTCATAGTATATAGTGCACTAGTCAAGTCTCTAACAGGATTTTTCATCAATATGAAAGTCATATATCCTAGTTTCAAACGATATAGATGTTTTTATTATTGATAATCATTGATCAAAGATACCATCTTTATATAACAACGTACTATTCCTAGTGAAGTGAAACAAACTTTTATCTATATATCTCAAAACTGTTTACATGCATGCACATATTTAAACACCATAAATTAACGTAAAGAAAGCATGAGATTGATTCCTTGTTTTTTTTGCTGATTTCTGAGAGTTTTAAGGATTTTGTAAGAGAAAAATATGATACTTTTGTACTATTGTTTGAAATACCTCAAAGTACCATCAAGTATCTTAAAATATCTTTAAACATACCATAAACATCGTTCTATGCGATATTGCATCATAATATGTTCGATAGAGTGTCAATGGTTCTATACTTTTTGTAGTACAGAATTGTTAACGTTTTGGTCTGATTGAAATACAGCGTATTTTAAAAATTCGGTCGAAAAAGAAATGTGAATATCTTTTTTAATCATTCGAGTGATTTACATGAGGTTTTTGTAGCTTTATTTCACATAAATTTGTCTCGAATAGATGTACAAAATGATCACTTACAAATGCAATACACAAACTTAACATTTTTCAAAATATCTGTAAAAACTTCATATAAAAGTTAGTTTGAAATCTTTTTGACCTTATTATGAAATTTCATTTTCTACTAAACTAGATCTTTGATAGATGTCTTATAAAAATTATTCTCTAAATGTTTCTATAAAAGAGGTTGAGTCACGTCAGCTCAGTTAACTGTGATATCCATTGAAATGAATTACGTCTGCTATTGTACTTGTATAGAGAAATCTTCTCCAGAAATAGATAGACTTCGCGGTTAAAATGCGGAGGAAGTCGATCTTTATGAAATAATATGGAATTCATCTAACACAACTTTCTTACTTCTCAACTAGAAAAAACAAGTCTAAAGCATAGTAAAATATTTTTCTCGATTGATAATGTTACCACAAGGAAAATTGTCTAAATACCCGATTTTCTAATATCACACAAGAAACGTTGTCTTTTCAACATTATAAAATAATATCAATAGTTCCATGTATCCATGACATCTGTTAAAGATTTCTTTAAGCTGAAAATGAAAATGTACAAGAAGATTAAAAAGATTTCAAACTAAATCTTATATGAAGTTTTTACAGATACTTTCAAAAATGATAAGCTTGCGTATTGTATTTATACGTGACCATTTTGTATACCTATTAGAGACAAATTTATATGAAATAAAACTTCAATGAATACGAAATGAAACTATAAAAACCTCACGTAAATTGCTTAAATAGTTAAAGAGATACTCATGTTTCTTTTTCAATTGGACTTTTGGAGCATCCTGTATTTCAAGCAGATCAAAACGATAATGATTCTATACTATAAGGACTATAAAGCCATTGATGCCTTGTCGAATATATTATGATACCGTATCGAACAATTCAATTTTGTATGATATTTTAAAGATACTTTAAGAGACTTCAAAGTACAAAAGTATCATGTTTTCCTCTTGAATTTTATATTCTTTATCCGAGTACTGCATAGGTACAACTTTTCGTATCCGTACCCGACTCGAACAGAAGTCATTTATCCGCATCCTATCCACACTCAGATGCACCTATTCGACTCGTAAATTGCATTTCCATGGTACATCGCTGATAATTTAACAGAACCATCAAACAACTATTTGATCAAGGCTATCACTATTAAACAGCAACATTAAAGACATTAATTTTCAAATTTTTTTATGAATTTTACTAGCAAAAATCAAGTTTGTATTTCCAAAAATCGTTACTTTTTACATCCGTATGGGTATCTGACCCGCGGATTACAATACTCTAGCCCTTTATTTCAATTAGACGAAATCTTTCAGAGAAAAAAAGCAATAAGAAATGTATTTATTGTTTGAAATTCTATCTATACAAAAATTTGTTTTTGCTGTACGACAGAACAAAAGGTTTAGTTAGGGAAAATAACGTTTTCTTAGTTTCTGTGTTTACATAGTAGTTGTCTTTTGTCGCTGAGTTTTAACTGAAATTGTATTGACATTTGCTATTAAAGGTTGAACTTGTCCATGACTGATTTGTTGGAAGAGTACAATTCTTTTTACACGAATTATGTGTTTTCGCCATGCATGCCAAAGACGAAAGTCTAATGTTGCAACAATTATTGGATCTATTGCTACATCGATATAATTAAGTAGACCAACAATATAAATTAGATCTTTCTTGTTAATTGATGCTTGATAAACAATAATATTTGGTGACCAAAGTCCAGCCCAAACAGTATAAAAACAAACAAATTGAATGACTAATGATTTATGAAATTTTTCACGTGCTGAAACATAGTGTTGACTTTTTTGTAAAGCTGCTTTTGTACGAACATGACGAACACTAGAATACATTACTAAGATATTAAGAAAAATAGGTAATGCAAATGCAAAAATTGTATTAAATATTTGAATATAAGTATTTGCATAAAATATTACACAAGTATCTCTAATAAATCCACCTGCATCAGTCCAACCAAGAAGACATGGAGCAATGTAAACAATTAATGGAATTACATAGACAAGGACATGAGCTAAGATTAGTAGATACTTATGGACTTCATATACATTTTGATTGTATACTATTTGTACATAACGACATACATTCAAAACAAATAGAATGTATACTTTAAGTATATTAAAGTAGTTATCAAGTATTGCTTCAAGATAGCAGATAAATACAATTCGTGATCTGCTTGGATGACATTCAGTAGATGTTGTATGGATAGTGTAAGAAAAGTAAAAGCGAAAAAGAAGAAAAATGTCAGTAAGAAGATAAGCATAGATCCATTGCATTGATCTTTGTCGAATGGAAGAAGAAAAAGTCAATTGAATCCAGAATGTTGCATGAATAACTGAAGCAATAATACAAATAGTAAGTGCAGCTTTTTCATCTTCAACAATAGCTTGAGTCCATAAAAGAGGTGCAGGACATGTGTCGTTCGTATTATTTAACAAGAATGTGTCTATTGTTATATTATTCATCTATAAAAAGAACTATCTTCTATTGAAATATCAAATATCGGACGTCATATTTAAAGATTGTAGTTGCTAGAGAATCCATGACGCATATCATCGTCATGGTAACAAGGATGGCTTAATAAAGACGGAAACATATTTCCTAATAGAAAGTCAGATCTGGACATGACAGGTGATCAAGTTACTGTTTAAAAAGATTATTCATTAAACTTCCCGTAATATAAACTCCCCATATTAGAAGCTCTCTTTAGAAGGATGGGTGTGAAAGATATATTACACAAGCCTCGAAGCTTCTATTACGACTGAGAAAACTTCGAATTTTTTAAGAGATAATTCCACTGTCCGAATTATAAGTTAGCATTGATTTTGCCTTCACCGATTAAGAAATGCTTCTGGTGACGTCGAAGTTCCATCATTGGACATAAACTTTAGAGATGACCAACATTTTATTTACCAACACTTTAAACCGTAAAGAACACGCTTATGTATGGTCGTCGTTACATTGGACGAGACATAATTATAACTCACTAGTCGCACATTCACTGATTTATATTTGTTGGGTGTGGGTGTGTGTGGCTGTGGCTGTGTTTTAATATGTTCCACTTTCAGACCGACACTCACATACACACACCTACACTCCACATACTATTGGCAAGGATAACAAGCCAGCTCAGACAAAACATGTTGACCTCTGTATGATGTAATAATATTTTTCCTAGTATACCTACAAGATAATACTACAATTTCATGATTTTGTGGAGATATGGTTTATCTCTTCATACACAGCCACCCACATCCTTGTAGGAAAAATATCTTCACTAGTTTGTCTCTTTGTTTTAACTAACTATATTGTCCAAGAACTTGTCATTACACTATCTTCATGAAAATAAATTAAGTATATAACTTAAAACTAGAATGATGCCTTAAAATTAGAATATAGAACTCAGTGAATTTAAAAGAAAAATAGAAACATCAGTCAATCTGATTTGCCCTGTAGACCAGGCTGAAAATGATGATCTGTTGACAGCTCTGATGAGTACCGCGAAAGCTGACGGTAGTGCGAACAAACATACAGCATGGATGAATTTTTATTTTTTTTTAAGTATTAAATGAAGAAGATTCATCAAATTATAAATATCAGTTAATTGCGTTGTTTGTAATAATTAACATTATCTGTTTTTTTGTTATAGAATTTCTCTATTTCTCTGAATAATATATGATTTATTTCTTTTTACTGATTGTTGTCTACTATTGTTCTACTTTCTAAAAATGGAAAGTCTGTCTCGATCATATATACAAAAACTATAAAGTTCAATTAAGATCTCTGTTCTTTCAACTGATTGGATCATTTAAATTGCTATCGTATGTATCTGTCTTTTATTGCTAGTGTCACATTTAAAGAAAACGGACGCAATACAACAATACCAAACAGAATATATGTTTATGAGTAATTTTACATAAACTACCAGAATATATAAAAACCAAACATGAGTACTCAAGAAACACTTAATATTGCAAGGGGAGTGCTCAATAGTCGTACTCAGATTCCAGTATCACTATTACCGATGAACACTCGAAACCCATGGGTACTTTCACTAGGAATGGCATTCAAGTGAAACTGATACAATTTGAAGATGTTATAGATGAAGGATTAGAGTTAATGATCTACAACTAATGACAAAAAAAGATAACACTATCATGTATAGCCTGATGAACGATGGCTAAATAAAAAAAATTAGAGAGAAAACTTCAATCTGAAGTCAAGTAGAAAAGATAAAAGCTATTCATCAACATATTCACGAACATGTTAGAAAAGTACAAACTTATTTATCAAATCAAGACTTAATTCAATGAGTGCATTCTCATTGACTATAAGTTTTACTTCAACTTATAGTAGTGCAAAATAAAATGTAAAATCTGTTGATCAATATTTTAAATATATATCCTATTTCATGTCAGAATGAATTTACAATATTTCATGATGAAACTAAATTAATAAGAGACTACTGTATCACGGTTGGTATAATTGACTACAATAATTTGATTTTAATAACTCAGTTATTATCTAAATTTCAAGATGATCTCGATATGACGTCTGATAATAAAACATCCTCTGCGTAGCTTCCGAATGAATACCTCATTGAGACGTAATTAGAGTTCAATGCTGCTGAGAAAACAAGTTGACGAGCCCGTCCATCCGATTATGATATACATTCTAATATTTGAAGACAAAATAGAATAAAACTCTAAATCCAGAAAAAAAAAAGATTCCATGATATTGGAGTATATTTAGTTATAGCAATTGATTGCATTGCGATCGCATATCTAATATGTTATCGACTAGTGAATTCTATACTCAGACTTTGGTGAGGAATCATAAGACTGTTAAGTATGTGAAATACTCGATACAAAATTTTTTTTTCTTTTTTTTGTACACTTAAACAGTTCAGACTCTTTGTCTAGAACTAAAAAAAAGGTTCTGGAAATGATATCCAAAAAAAGAAGGTTCAGTTGGACAGCTTTTTTTTTTTACTGAGTAGACGCATAAAGACTCTCAAAAACCGCTATAGATCGCCATAGGCTTCCAAGATCCATCCTTGCTGAAAATTAGAAGGTATATGTTATGTAGTCCACTGTAAAAAATAACGGTAGAATAATAAACCCTTTCATATAGCCTTTGAAGAAGCATTTTTTTATTCTACGGTTATTTTTTTACCGTGTACGTATTTGGAAATTCTAAAGATTCTCAACGATTTCGACTACATGGCGGTAGAGAGTCTCACTGAGGCTCAAGCTCAGTACCATCGATGCATGCGTCAAACTAATGAACTACCCATCCTTAACAGTTAGCAGCAGCATTCTGAATTTGATGGCTATGTAGAAAAGGAAAAATGTGATGAAAAAAAATATTTTGATTAATAGTAAGAAAAACAAATATAGAAATAACATAGAATTGGCATTGATACAGCTGTCATACGGATTACAGAACCTAATCTTCGTATTTCATATGAGTTTACGTATACTTTGATTAAGAATAGATGAGATATTATTCTGATTTCCTTAATATGAAATAGACTTATTTTTCAAGCGATAAATAAATAACAATCAAACTCTTCTTTGTCGGAGTATAGGAAAAAAACATTTTTCTTCTTATTATATTCATTTTATTTTATCTCCTTAGCATGATCAAAATACAATTAATCTTCTTGTACTATTTGCTTTTATTGACAAAAGTTTTAACAAAAAACAACATTTACAATAAAGGAAAATATTGATGCAAATTTTTTGGAGGAACAAACAGTTCCTCTACACTAAGACTGGTCAATTTACTACAAGTGAGACGTGCTGCATCATTAGTGAAATTGTTTGTAATCAGTATCAGTGATTCATAGTCAATCCTAAGATTCAGTAAACAAGGTAAATGACAGTATTTATCGAAGAGAAATTGTTCAGCATAATCTACATGAGCGGAATCAATGTCGAGCAAAATAAGACGAGAAAATATTATACATGTTCTCGATTGTTGCTTCTCCTTTTGCGGTTTGTCATTGAATATACACAACATTTGCAACAGAGGAAAACTTTGAGAGATGACTTTGAAGAAGTTATGTTCAAAGGGGCATAAGTCAGTCATCATCAAGGATAGAACATTGTTAAACATGCCACCTTGAAAAGAATTGTTTAAATAATTAAAGCATTTGAATTGATATGGAAGTGAATGGATGTGGCATCTACTTTTGAAGTAATATGGAAGTGAATAGCTATGGCCTCTACTTTTGTCTTGTTTTGAGAATGTTTCGACATGTGAATAAACTGGTCCATATTCTCTTCTAATGAAACTATGTTGAATATCTTCATTCGATGAAAGACCAATTCCAATATTGTTTTCGACTATATTTGTGTCTATACAAAAAGTAAATTTGTTTAATCGCGGCATATAAACAAGAATATTATCATATAATTGAACACCATCAATGTAATTCTTGTCAGTTCTTATTATTGATAGAAATAATATCAATTCTTCAAGATTTATCATCCGTCGAAGTAATGGAATAATTAAATTATCATAAAAAACTATGCGTGGATACGAGGTTAATGAGAAGTATTTCAATTTTGGAAGTTCTTTCTATGAAAAAAAGAAACAATGTTTATCTATCGAGTTTACTGATTTTTTTCTGGAAATACAATAATTGAGAATTATACACACCGTATTATCTATAGTTCCTAATGTATATGCAATTTCTTCGACATATATAATCAATGTTGATAAACAATTGAGACGTACATCAAGTAGATAAAGACAATCATCGAAATTTTTCACAGAAATTTTCAATACAGCTAAAATTGACGACTTACAATTTGTTGATGATAACTCAAAAGTACAAATTGATAATCGATAATAGAATGGACAAAAATTTAACTCGATTAGTCCTTTACATAATGATAAAATCAAAGCAAATATAGTCGAAAGATTTTCAGGAATTGGCGGTGGTGTTGTGTTATCCTTAACATCAATTTTAAGACATGTAATTTGTTCAGTAAGAAGTTTGCGAAGAGTTGTATTATCTTCAATTCACAAATAAAAAAGAAAACGATTATTAAAATGATTCCACTATTATGTTAATTGAAATAAAATAAAAAAATTAAATAGTTTACCTATTAAATAGTTGAGAAGTATTTCTTCTTGAAAATCTATAAGTGATAATGAGTAAAGCTGTGAATAATTGATAGCATGTATAACATGTTCCATTGAATGTTGTTCAACAATAAGTTCATTTACTTGATGATGAATTCGGGGTAAGATATTTTGACAAATTCTATCAAGTTGATTGTCTATTGAATAAATACGATCAAAATATGATTTCATCATCATAGAGGTCATATCAAGACTGTGAATATAAAGTGGATCAAGTATTAATTGATCAAATCGTTGAGTAACATCCACAAGTGAATAGAGAACATCGACCATATTTAGTTTGTTAAAAATTATAAGTAAAATTTCATTGGGCAAATCGAGTATATTGAGATGCTTGTTGTTCGACATGTTCATGTCTAATTCATTCAATTCAAGCATGTTAATTTATATTACGTTTATTTTGTTTCGTCGTTCTTTCTATCCATTTCCTTCATTATTTAAATGTAAACACTGAGAATGACATGAAGAAGAATGAAAAAAATCGAAGAAAGAGAAACGTGCTGATGTAAAATTTTATCTTAGTCGATGATGGAAAATCACTCTCTTCGATAATGTTTATTCATTTCATTTTAGATTATCATAGTCTACCATAACTCCACCATGAAGATCACTATTTTGTGGTCTCCATGCCGGTCACAAGTCCGGATAAAGGAGGAGTGTTGGACGGAAGGGGTGCAGATACCGCCGTCTGTAAAAACAAAAAGACGAAAGAAACTAACCATGAACGACTTTAGCACGAAACCATACCGGCTCGGACGTCGCCCGGGAAAACAAGGTCCGCGTCCTCTGTCGAGTGACCAGGACAGAGTCGAAAAATTGGCTACTGGAAAAAATTTACATACAAAGTATACGACGAAAAACACGCAAAAACTAATACCTGCCAAAAATACTCTGACAGTAGGAACATGGAATGTGCAGACTCTTTGGGCTGCTGGAAAATTAGAACTACTTAGAAACGAAATGAAGCGTTTCAAGTATGATATAATTGGTATTTCTGAAGTGCGATGGACAGGAAAAGGTGAAACACCGAATGGTGATTTCATCTGGTCAGGAGAAGAGACCGTACATATGAGGGGTGTCGGTTTCTTACTAAGTGCACAAGCTAAAAAGGCTTTGATAGGATACAATCCAATAAGCTCACGAATAATTTCGGCGCGATTCGATGCAGCACCATTTAAAATTTCAATCATACATGCATATGCGCCAACTTCTGCATCGTCTGAAGATGAGATTGAAGCATTCTACAACGATGTTGAGGAAGTAATAACAAAGACAGATAAAAAAAGATGTAATCATCCTGACAGGAGATTGGAACGCAAAAATTGGTAATGATAGCACAGATTGGAAATCCGTTATGGGTAAATACGGTTATGGCGATAGAAACGAACGAGGAGAACGCCTTCTAGAATTTGCAGCTACACACAGTCTCTACATATGTAACACAAGGTTTCAACATAAACCTAATCGAAAGTGGACTTGGGCGTCACCAGATGGCATCCACAAGAACATGATTGATCTGATTCTCATTCAAAGAAGATGGAAGACGTCGGTCATCAACTGTCGAACATTTCAGAGTGCAGACATAAGCTCAGATCATTCATTAGTCTTATGCAACATCAAACTGCGACTCAAGAAAATGTATAACAAGCCGCAGCAATCCTATAGAGTTGATGTAAACCGATTGAAAGATGAGAAAATAAGACAATCATACAGTACTACACTAATAAAAAACATGGAAAACATACAGCCATCATGTAATCTGGAAGTCCATTCAAACAAAATAAGACAGGCAATTCAAAATACAGTAGAGACAACGATACCTGCAAAAAGAAAAACTAAAAAAACCGTGGATTTCAGAAGCGACATTAAAACTTGCTGATGAAAAACGAAAACTAAAACAGATGAAAAACGTTTCCATAGAATACACACAGCAATATAAAGACTCATGTCGGAGAGTCAAGAAATCTGCAAGACAGGATAAAGAGCATTGGGTACAAGATCAATGCGAACAAGCTGAAAAAGGCCTAAACATTGGAAATACCAGAGAAGCATACAGCCTATTGAAAATGTTAAAAAGCGAATTTGTACCTCGATTGAATGTGATACGAGATCAGCAGGGAGCAATGTTACAGTGTAAGGATGACATAAAGCAAAGGTGGACACAGTATTGTAGCAGTCTGTATAAAGATCCTGGGGGTGGAGACGGGATGGCAGAAGAACTTGAAGACATCGCGCCTCCCGTAGACGAAGATTCCTCGGATGTTCTGTACTCTGAGGTCGAAGCAGCTATACGCGCATTAAAAAGAAATAAGAGTCCAGGATCAGATGGGATCACGGCCGAAATGCTACAAGCTGGGGGCGAACCACTAGCACGTCAGATACATAATCTCTGTAACAAAGCATGGAATGAAGGTATAATTCCAGAGGAATGGGGTAAATCCATCCTGATACCAATTCCGAAAAAAGGAGATCTCAGCAATTGCTCGAACTACCGAACGATCTCTCTTATCAACCATACACAAAAAGTATTTTTAATAGTACTGCTAAACAGATTAAAAAGTCATCTGGATCCGCACCTCTCAGAAGAGCAGGCAGGATTCAGAAAAGACAGGAGTACCATACATCAGATACTAACGCTTAGATTATTGGCTGAAAAAGCAAAAAGGCAGAGTAAGAAAGTATACAACTGCTTTATAGATTTCCAAAAAGCATTCGATACGATTAAACATAAAATTATCTGGGCTATGTTAAAATCCTATGGTGTAGAACCGAAAATGGTTACACTGCTACAAAAGATCTACGAAAAGTCGCAGTCAGCTGTCCGAATTGGTAATGATTATGGCGAGTGGTTTCAAACAGACGTAGGAACAAGACAAGGCGATCCTTTATCACCACTCCTCTTCATCGCATATCTAGAAAGGGTGATGGATCAGGTGAGACAGAACACCTGCGGAATCAATGTCGGTGGAATCGTTATAAATAACCTAAGATTCGCGGACGATATTGATCTTATAGATGAAGATCTTAGCTCACTTCAAAGCCAAATTGAGCAAACAAAGACAGCGGCCGAACAAGCTGGATTGATGCTAAATATAAATAAAACCAAAACCATGGTTTTTGGAGACAGGAATATAGAAAGTACAATCGATGTAGCAGGTGGAACCATCGAAAATGTAGAAAAATTTGAATATCTAGGAAGTCTGCTGACATGGGATAACAACTGCTCGGAGGAAATCAAAAGGAGAATAGGAAAAGCGACAGGTGCATTGGTCTCATTGAAACATATCTGGAACAGTAAAAAACTGAAGATTGAAAACAAACTCAGAATTTTAACAACATGCGTCTTCAGTGTCCTACTATACGCGTCAGAGACATGGACTTTTAAAGAGGCAGACAGGAAAAAACTATTGGCTTTTGAAATGAAATGCTACCGACGGATTCTAAAAATTAATTGGCAGGACATGATACGAAACGAGGATATTAGGAAAAGGATATCAAAAGAAGAGACGATAATAGATACTATCAAAAGAAGAAAGCTAAGGTTATTTGGTCACATCTGTAGAATGGACGACACTAGATTAATTAAACACGTTGTTTTTGCTAAAATGGATGGAAAATCTAGACGGGGACGTCCATGCAGAGAGTGGCTGGATGATATAACCGAATGGTGTCAACGCAGTGGACAAGATCTGTTTCATCTTGCGCAAGACCGACAGGTGTGGAAAAATCTGATCTCGTAAATGGTTAGCCCCAACGGGCGCTAAGCCTATGGGACATGATGATGATGATGATAGTCTACCATGAGCAACGCCAATAAATTTTGGACCGGTATAAGAAAATCATCAGATAAAGACCATGCTGGTAAGCTTTTGTTGTTTTAAGTAATAAAATAATTTATTTCATTTTTTTATGAACCGTTATCCCAAAGATGAAAAAGAAAAAAAAAATTTCGTGGTGAAATAACTGGCTATACATCTGCAACTGCTATTGGCGAAAAAAAAGGTATAAAAAGTTAAATATTCACTATTTTTTATTTATCATTTTATTCGTCAGATATAAATTGTGAATTACCACAAAGTTATAGTCCAAGATATGTCGAAGCAGCTTGGTATGATTGGTGGGAAAAACAAGGTTTTTTTCGTCCAGAATATTATGATGAACATCCTCCATCAAATGCTTCAACACCACGAAAAAATTTTATTATGGTTATTCGACTACCAAATGTAACTGGTTATCTTCATCTAGGTCATGCTATAATGTATACACTTGAAGATACAATTTCTCGATGACATCGTATGTGTGATGATACAGTTCTTTGGGTATCTGGTTGTGATCATGCTGATATAGCAACACAAGGTGTTGTTGAAAAAGAATTAATGAGAGAACAAAAATTATCAAGAAATGATTTGGGAAGAGAAAAATTTTTAGAAGAAGTTTGGAAATGGACAAATGACAAAGGTTTGATCTCGGTTTTTTTTCAACTTATACTATGAAAGAATAGAAAACCGTTTTGTAAGAGGAAATTTTTTTAGAGTTAGATTTTATTGAAAATTTCACCATAGATGCAATTTATGTTGTAGAATCTATTCTGAAGTTTTTGGATCTTTTTCTCATATGAATAGAAAGATATTTGCTAATTACTTTTTAATTGATAGTTAGTTGAAAGAGTCAACATTTTCATATATGTCTATACTAAAAGAAAAATAATCCTTGTAAAGAATCAAAATCAAATGAAAGGTGGACATGCCTCGTTTCGTCTGAAGTGGCTCATCAAAAATTTAGCTTATTTTAGATATTCTATTAACAAAAAAAAAAAAAGTTTTATCCTTCAAAGGACGATCTCACAAGGAAATCTTCTCAAATGTTCCTTTCCAATTTCAATGATTCTTTGCCTATAGATACTACATAGTGCATCCTAAAACAGTTTGGATTTCTATTAAGGTTTGACTAAGTTATCATATTTTTGATATCTTTATTATCTGAAGACTTCTGTTCGATCCTAAATTTTCCAATCAATCATATTTTGGTCTGAAATTTTGCTCATATAGAGACCTTGCCTAATTAATGTTGACTTCAGTTCAGGGATGTCCATGGCGGTAGATTTTGAAAAAATTATCACGACAGCGGCAGTTTTTCTATAAAGTCATCGCGACAGCAGCAGCATTTTTTCGAGGACATTGAAAAATGGCATGAATTTGATAGAATTTCATTGTTTACAAATGAAACACCTTGAGACTGAATGAATCTGATGGACTATTTCCAATATTTCTGGTCCAATACGGTCGCAGCAGTAAAATTCGAAACATTTTTTTTGAAAACCATCGTGGCAGTGACAGGTTTTCAGGCACGATGGACATCTCTGCTTGAGTCTTTTTAGTTTATTTTTAGCTCAAAATCCTGAAAATTATACATATTTTTTAATGGAAATGTATTAATCAATGTTCCTATTTTGTGAGAACCCAATTAGTTGAGAAATCGAGTCTTCTATTACGTTCGGTGCATTGTTCTTCCAACGGTGAGGGGAAGGATGAGCTTCGTGGAAAACTTTAAAAGTTGTTGTTAGTAGTAGTCCCACAGAAAATCTGAGGGAAAATTCACACCTACTGGCGTCATTGCTAGTATAAGTTTTGTATAATCTATTGATACTAATGAAATTTTGTTTTCTGTAAATAGGTAATCATATTTATGAACAAATAAAAGCGTTAGGTTCATCATGTGATTGGTCACGTAAAGTATTTACTATGGATAAAAATATGTCATATGCTGTTGAAGAAGCATTCATTCGTATGCATGAAAAAAAATTAATTTATCGTTCAACATGATTAGTTAATTGGTCATGTACACTTAAATCAGCTGTATCTGATACTGAAGTAAAAAAAAATATTCGGTTTTTTGTTTTTTACATTAATAAATATTTCTTAGGTCGAAAAAAACGGAAATAAAAGGTCGAACATTAATTCGTGTACCTGGCTATGAACACCCAGTTGAATTTGATGTTTTAACCTATTTTGCTTATCCAGTTGAAAATTCAAGTAAATATTTTATCGAAATTTCATCAAAATTTCTGCCTTTTTTCTTTTTTTTTTCTAGAAGAAGAAATTATTGTTGCTACAACTCGTCTTGAAACAATGCTTGGTGATACAGCTGTTGTTGTTCATCCAAATGATGAACGTTATAAAGATTTACATAGTAAATATGTTCAACATCCATTTCTTCAACGTCGTGTACCAATATTAACTGATACAATGGTTGATCCAGCATTTGGTTCGGGTGCAGTTAAAGTTACACCAGCACATGATCCAAATGATCTTGAATATGGACGTCGACTTAATTTACAATTTATAACATGTATTAATAATGATGGTTTAATGTCATCTGAATGTGAACCATATAGTGGTAAACCACGATTTGATGTTCGACATCAATTATTAAATGATTTAAAAGAACGTGGACTTTATCGTGATTCAAAAGAAAATGAAATGATTTTACTAATATGTAGTCGAAGTAAAGATATTATTGAACCATTACTTAAATTACAATGGTATGTTAATTGTAAAGATATGGCAAAACGTTCAATTGGAGCTGTACAAGATAAAGAATTAAAAATTTTACCAATTAGTTTTGAACTTGTTTGGTATAAATGGTTCGAAGATATACGTGATTGATGTATATCAAGACAATTATGGTGGGGTCATAGTATACCATCCTATTTTGTTAGTTCCGATGATATTCCCGTTGGAAATGAGACTGATGATCATTATTGGATTAGTGCTTATACATATGAAGAAGCACTTGATAAAGCTGCACAAAGATTTAATATTGCAAAAGATAAAATTCGATTAACACAAGATGAAGATGTACTTGATACATGGTTTTCATCAAATCTTTTACCATTTTCATCATTTGGTTGGCCAATGGAAACAGATGATTTTAAAAAATTTTTTCCAACAACATTACTCCAAACAGGTCATGATATACTTTTTCCTTGGGTTGCACGAATGGTAATGATGTCATTAGAATTAACTGGTCGTTTACCATTTACAGAAGTTTATTTACATGCAATTATTCGTAATGCAGATGAATGTAAAATGTCACAAACTTTAGGAAATGTTATTAATCCACTTGATTTCATCCATGATATATCATTAGAAAAACTTCAAGAAGGATTCAAAAGTTCAAAAGAAGATTATCCAGATGGTATTCCTGAATGTGGAACTGATGCATTACGTTTTGCTGTTTGTGATTGTGCTGGTCAAGGTTATTTAAATTGATTAAAGATTTTCTATTTTTTTTTTATTTAATTTAGGTCAATATATTAATTTGAATAAATTTCGTGCTGAATCTTCTCGAGATTTTTGTAATGATCTTTTTGGAATGTTATTCAATTTGCGATATCAAAAAATTTAGATATTAATGATTCAAATTGTTTTCAACCACCAACAGAGAGTTTAAAGTAATAAAGATATTTCAAATTAAAATATAAAATTTTTTATTTTAGCTTACTGGAACGGAAACACCATGTGATTTGTGGATATTAAGTCGATTAAGTTATGCTATTGAACAATGTGAAAGTGGTTTTAAAAAGTATCAATTTTCTCAAATAACAACAGCTATTTATAATTTTTGGCTTCCAGAATTAAATGATATTTATATTGAATATGTTAAAAAAGATTTTTATCCAGACAAACCAAATTTAGAACAAAAAAAAACGACAAAATACAATTAAATTAATTTTATATACATGTTTAAATAATGGATTAAGATTAACTACACCTATAATGCCTTATCTTTCTGAAGAACTTTATCAACGTTTACCTAAACCAAATAATGGACAAAATTCATCACCTAGTCTTTGTATTACACCATATCCACAATCAAGTGAAGTAAATATTTTCTTTTCTTTAATTTCTTTCTTTTATAATTATTTATCGTCTTGTTTATTTTAGTTTAATCAATATCATAATAAAACTATTGAAAAAGATGTTGCAACTATTACTGATGCTATTGATAAAATTAATTCACATTATTCAACACCTGGAGTTCCTCGTCATGAACCAGTTACTCGTAAGTTTTTTAAGATTATATTACAGACATAAGTGGATATGCACCAAATTTGAACTCAGTAGCGTCGAGTGCGTGTTCAAAAAGTTGAACCCGCACAGAGCTCTATATGGAAGTATCCTAAAGTTCGGGTATTTTCGATCATCGTTAGCTTTTTTTTAGGATGTCTGTAATCCTTCATTTACTCTATTGTTTGCAGACCTAATATAGACAATCGTAAAATCTTTTTTATTAATTAATTGAAAACGACTGCACTCGAAGTATGTCTAATCATAATCACAAAGCAACTCAAGGAGAACACGTTTCTGACAGTAACAATGAGTAGAGGACAATAGATTTTAGTGGTCGATTTTTTCTGACCCAATTCGACCTGAAATCTGACTCTGATGGATTCTATTGTTCGTTCGTTGATATTTTACTTCTGAATTCATATCTCGTTTTCTTTTTCTTTAGTTTATATCAAATCTTCATCATCGATATCGACACTTTTTAAGGAATATTTTGAACTGATTAAATCACTTACTAATATTGACAATATTCAAATACTTAATGATGAACCAACAGTTGATCAAAAAGAATATATACATATTGCAACAACATCAGATTACAGACTTTTTTTTAAATTGACTGATGATTTAGAATAACTTTTATTTTGCTCGTGTTGTTATCGTTCATATTTTATTTATCATAAAGAACACTATCATCATCGGTTGTTCATAAAAAAAAACAAGAAAAAAGAAATTATATTTTTAGATTAATAGTACTGAGTTCAAATGATCTATTTCAACAAATTAGTCATCCAGTAAATAAACGTTTTAAATTAACAGAAGAACAATTAAAAAGATATAAGACCTGGAAAATTCAACCAGGAATGGCAAATATTAAACTTGAGTATGTTTGGTTAATCAAATAAAGATACGAAAATTTTCTTTTCAAAAAAAGGTTGACTGATTTTGATTATGAAGTTCGATTAAGTGTAGAACATATATGTGAAATATAAAAAATTAATTGTCGAAACAGATAATACTAATGAACCAAAAAAAAGAAATTTAGAGTAAAACATTCATCAACAGTAAAGAATCTTTTAATACATCATCTTTTTTGTACAGGATCAAAATCGTAAACATTTAGAAATTAATGCTCCGCCTCCATCCAATTTAAATAGATAAACTTAAGACAGAGAAACACGAAATTCTAAGTGAATACTTATGCAGGATGTTGATACATTTTACTTATAATTCTCGAAGAATCGTCCTTTTTTTCGCGATAAACAGAACCGAATCGAATCCAAATAAAGATTTTTTTATTCATTTCGGTCTCTGTACCTGATCCAAACAGAAATCACTTCCTCATACCCTACCCGTGAATTGCATTACTGTGACACATCGCTGGTAGTTAAACAGAACCATAAAACAACTGTATGAACAAGAATACTGTTATAAAACAACAGCATTAAAGACATTAATTTTCAAATGTTTAATGAACCGTGCTATTTACAAATGAAATGTGTGACTCCAAAAATTGTTGCTTTTTATACCTGTACTCTACTCGCACAGGTACCTGATCCACAGGTTGCAGTACTCTGGTCATTGATTTCAATTAGACACAATCTTTCAGAGAAAAAAAATAGTAATAAGTCCATTTATTATTTGGAACTCTATCTACACAAATATATTTTTGTTGTACGACAGAAAAAAAGGTTTAGTTAGGGAAAATAACGTTTTCTTAGTTTTTGTGTTTACATAGTAGTTGTCTTTTGTCGCGGAGTTCTAGCCGAAATTGTATTGACATTTGCTGTTGAAGGTTTAACTCGTCCATGACTGATTTTTTGGAAGAGTACAGTTCTTTTTACACGAATTACGTGTTTTCGCCATGCATGCCAAAGACGAAAGTCTAATGCTGCAACAATTATTGGATCTATTGCAACATTGATATAATTAAGTAGTCCAACAATATAAATTAGATCTTTCTTGTTAATTGACGCTTGATAAACAATAATATTTGGTGACCAAAGTCCACCCCAAACAGTATAAAAACAAATAAATTGAATAACTAATGAACGATTCAACTTTTCACGAGCTGAAACATAATGTTGAGATTTTTGTAAAGCTGCTTTTGCACGAACATGATGAATACTAGCATACATTACTAAGATATTAAGAAAAATAGGTAATGCAAATGCAAAAATTGTATTAAATATTTGAATATAAGTATTTGCATAAAATATTACACAAGTATCTCTAATAAATCCACCTGCATCAGTCCAACCAAGAAGACATGGAGCAATGTAAACAATTAATGGAATTACATAGATAAGGACATGAGCTAAGATTAGTAGATACTTATGGACTTCATATACATTTTGATTGTATACTATTTGTACATAACGACATACATTCAGAATGAATAGAATGTATACTTTAAGTATGTTAAAATAATTATCAAGTATTGCTTCAAGATAGCAGATAAATACAATTCGTGATCTGCTTGGATTACATTCAGTATACGTTGTATGAAGTGTATAAGAAAAGTAAAAGCGAAAAAGAAGAAAAATGTCAGTAAGAAGATAAGCATAGATCCATTGCATTGATTTTTGTCGAATGGATGAAGAAAAAATCAATTGAAACCAAAATATTGTATGAATAACTGAAGCAATAATACAAATGGTAAGTGCAGCTTTTTCGTCTTCAACAACAGCTTGAGTCCATAAAAGAGGTGCAGGACATGTGGCATTGGTATTGTTTAACAATAAGAATGAGTCTATTGTTAGATTATCCATCTATGACAAGAACTATCTCCTGTTAAAATATCTAATATAGGAAGTCATTTTATAAAAATGATATTTGTTAAAAAGCCTCTGACGTATATCATCGTCATGATAACAAGGATGGCTTAATAAAGACGGAAACATATTTTCTAATTGAAAGTCACATTTGAAAATAGCAGGCGATCAAGTCTATGTATTAGTTCATCAAAACTAAATGTGTTGTGAAACGCAATCTTAAAGAAGTATTAAAGTATGGAGGTAGATTGGACTCACTTCCTCTCAGATATGACAGACATCTTAGCAACCCTCCATCATTCGTCTCACAAACCGTAACAAACATTGTTGGTATATGACCACAGACCGTATATCAATGACGTTAT